CAAATAGGTGGGCAAATTTGGCGAAAAAGTCGACAACCGAAAGGGGGCCTTCATCTATGAATTTAGGTCGTTTGATTGATGATATAAAAGTGATGAGAATAAAGAAATAGTTGGGTCGTAAGATGCTTCAATAATTATGGGAATGTAATTTAATTGTTTCAATAATTTATAGAAAAAGCCAAAAAAATCATCGTTTATTTTAACCTTAAAATCTCTAATTTAGATGTCATATTTTAACTTACTGTTTATAGATTTTTATAATGAAAATAGAGTAAATTATGAGTTTGGTCTTTATGGTTTATATTTTTTTTTACTCAGAGTAGTCTCAGAATCAAAATAAATACATGAAATGGTACTTACGATTTTCGCACTTATTGAGCCCTTCCTTCAACGAGATCAGTAAGATTTTCATTAACCCTGTTAAATTTAAGGAAATTTTTTTAATCTCTTTTTTGTCTTTATATCCTATTAAACAATTTTAAATATGGTTAAATAGATGAAATATCAACTTATTTTCATAAATTTTTTTATTATAATATTCTATTTTTGTTTTTCTTTGTTACAGTAATGTACTTTCAAATTATTTTTTATTAAGGCATCGTACTTTAAAAAATCTACCCATAATAACAATGGCTAACCTGTTATCTTTTTTGGCTGGAGTTTCATCGGAGTTTTGCCTGAATGAACGTGTGTTGTCTATGTATATATATGTATAATTACATTCTTGGTCCCTGTAATTTATAGATGTATAATATTTTCTTTATTTTTTAATTAAAAAATAAATAAAAAGACCAAAATACCCTTGAATTTTAACCAGGTTAACGAAATTTTATTGATTTCGTTAGATGAAGGTACTCAATAGGTGCAAAAATGCGTACGAAGGGTACCATCCTTGTATTATTATGATTTTGTGACCACTATGGGTAAAAAAATATAAACCACAGGGACCAAATGTGTAATTTACTCTTATATCTTTAAAAGAAATTTCTTTTCATTTCACTGAAAATTTAGTTCACGTGCCGGGCCCTCTTCCTTTATAAATTTTTCGTAACGTACAAATGTGTTACATGAATGCAAGGTATTTCGATTATTTAGTTTTATTTTTAATCTTTGTCTTCATGTCCATAGCAGGGACCAGTTTTTTCACCATCATCTTCCACCATATACAAGATATTTCGGTTTATTATGGACATTTTATACAAAATCGTCCTGTAATAAACCGAAATACAACATGATACAATCGCTCCCTATGTTTAGTCACGTCGTCATTGAATTGTCAAATCAAACAAAAAGTTGCATCATAGAATATCTACACCATAGGACAAAATAGAGGTCAAAATCGCCCACCAGGGCGATTTGCATGGGGTAGGGTTGATTTGCATGAAAGAGCTTACAAAATCATATTTTTGTCCCTCAATACATGTGGGACTCATATCTACCTCATGGATTAAAATCGCCCTCCATAAAGTAAAACTATCCTCTAGGGGCGATTTTAGTATCCATTTTGTAAGAGAACTATGAAAAGTGGTTATTTTGTTAGTGTATTATGTATAAAGTGGTTATTCTGGGTAATTTTCCTTACATAAATCCTAAAACCTAAACTACACCACCCAAAACTTAAAGTCACCCTATTGTTTCATCGTAATCTTCTTACTTTATCTTAATTCCACCCACCTATCCATCCCCCTTTTGTTAAGAGTTGGTCTACCATCCCAAATGGATTTTGCACCAAGTTTTGCTAGATGTTACCCAAATGACTTAGTCACTAAGCTTTGTTACATGTCACTTAATCCAATAGGTTTTGTATGGAAAGAGAGAGGTGGAAAACATGTCATACATGGTGTGAGGTTCAGTCATCGGAAACAATTTATTCCGAGTTGATGATTTAGTGTCATCAATTATTTGGTGTAATTGTGATTTACTTGAAATCGGTTAAGATGATAATTCATAACAATGTGACTATGGAGGTGCGGAGTGCATTCTCAGTACTAATGGTGCCTCTATCACCTTAGATCGTCAAAATGGAGGTCAAAGGGGTCGCGCCCCCGGGGAGTCCAAGGGGCGGTACCCCTGGTGGATGGAAACCTTTTTTGAAATTGTTCCTGCATTTAGCGAAATTTCGACAAAGTTTGAGTTCAAAGATGGTGTAATCAGAGCTCTGAGTTTTCACTAAAATTCTAAGTGTGATCAATGTTTCTAATCCTAATAATCAAAGCTCTAAACTTCTTCTTACATGTTGCTTCTGATTCAAAGCTCTTAGTCAGTTGTAACTGTTTCCAACTTTATCCGTAAGCAATTAAAACCATCATGCAGTTACCTGTTAACTATCTAACTCCCTGAAACCATCGATCTCTCTTATAAATGAATTTGTGCCTTAATTCGTGTATGAAATTTCTATATTAATTATCCCACTACTAATTTCTTGCAAACATAAGGCATTATAGGGGCGAAATATAATATTTGAAAAGTGTCTTTCCAATACAGGATCCAGAAATCTATCCACATTTATCAAACTAGAAAACCCTGGTTCCCAACATTTTGTTCACCGGAGATGGTGCGGTTCCAATCATTAGAGATGGTCATTGGGTTATGGAATCATAGCTTTTCCAACCTCCTCCAATGGAACCCACCTTCAACCCCCTCCAACACCTTCATTCTTGATATAAAAGGCACAAGAAAATGGGGAGAAAAGGAAGATGGTTGGTTTTTTTAAATGCTTAAAGTATGTGTGTATATATATATGTGCTTTCAAGACTTAATTATATAGTAATATTAAGTCATATATAACATGTAAAAAGACTAAAATCCCCCTCACATGAAGGGCATGCTATGGCACCATGTAACGGTCCTTTTTAACGACCGTTAGCCTCATGTACCAAAACCAACATTCACATGATGTAATTAGTGAAATTGAGGGACGAGAACCAGATTTTTGGTAAACCACAGGGACCTAAAATCTAATTCACTCTTCTTTTTATTTTTGACACGTCTATTAAATAAGTAAATAACTATAATATTGTGTCCTTATAAAATAGAAAAATAGGCTTTACATCCAATTGTCATATTTTAAATATTATTTCTTTAACAAATTGAGCATAAAAAATTAGATTTTTAGGATCACTTGAATTGTGGCTTATTGGTTGAAGTGCAATTGATTCTACTGAAAATCTCATCTTCTCTTGTTTTTAATCTACGGTTATCAAAATATTGTAGTCAGGAGGGTTCATCTTTAATAACTCCTGACCGATTGTGATCGTCCGAGTGACTAGGCGGTCGATATAAACTGAGACCAAAACCCACAAATACCAAAAGATACATTTTGAGACATTCAAGAGTTTATTTTAGTAAAAATTGGTTTGTTAGATTATGCATTGAACGTGTAAACTTTGTTTATTTCTAGTAAAGGGATATTTAAATCAACTAACAGCTAAAAATCGTATGTTGCTAAAAACAATAAATATCAACAAAATAATAAATTATTTACTAAATACAAAAAACAATATATGTATGTATATATATATATATATAGAGAGAGAGAGAGAGAGAGAGATAGAGAGAGGGGGGGGGAGAGAGACTTGAGATCATGTGAGATCAAGGGTTTTTCGTGAGACCTGTAAGACTAATTCTCAACCCTTGGATTAGATTTATAATCTGATCATTCATAACCACAAAATTGCCACGAGACTTCTCAATAATCACAAAATTGTCACCGTACAACTTTTGACCATTAGATCATTAGCTTGTAAAGTTGATCAATGAACATAAATTGGTCTTACGGATTTCACGGAAAAACTTTTGGTCTCACGTGAATTCAACCCTATATGCATATATATATATATATATATATATATATATATTAACAATAACTTTTCTATTGGTAAACACCATAAATTTGTATATAATATGTGTTGCTTATACAGTCAGATATATAAAAGTTGATCAACTTTAATTTGAACATGTTAGTGTGGATTTTAGACGTCTGCATAGGACATATGAAACAAAGATGTTTGTGGCTATATCAAAATACGCTAACAATCGAATATACCGTGTTGATTGCTTTATTCATGATTGATGGCAACGGTGTTCAAAACTCGATCAACTCAACTCAACTCATCCCAACCCAACTCAACCCAACGTAAAATAACTCAACTTGAAGTTTAATCGAGTTATAAAATTGTTTGAACCTAACCCAACATGATAAACCCGATATCCTTTTATTTCTTGGATTTAATATGATTGTTGCGTTTCTATTAATATATACATTAGACAATTACACTTTCACTTACCCTCTACATGTACACATATTTTCAATCTATTTTTCATCTCTATGCAACTCATTCGTATATATGTTCAATAACAGTGAACATATATATATATATATATATATATATATATATATATATGTAAATTGAGAAGATTAATTGAATATGATACACATAAGATTTAAGAAGTATGAATAAGTTTTATCAAATGGTTGATAATGAAAAAGAAATTATGAATAGAGAAATAACATATTCAAGGTTAAGAAAATATTTTAATGTATCAAAGTATCGATCCGGGTTGAGTTAAAAAGTTTTAAAGTACAAACATTAGATTGAGTTGTTTAAATATCTTTAACCTATGAACACCCCTAATTGATAGAAGACAACTGAGAATTGGTGTTGATTTTTTGAACTATCTAGATATTATGTTGCACAAGATAAAAACATTTATGTTATTTTTTTTCCAAATATAAAGATATAATTCATGATGACGATGATTTAATTTCATTCGATTTTGAAATTATTTACCAGCTCTCTCGTCGCGTTCTCCTGGATAAAAACCACATGTATGAATATACTAAGGTGATGTTTGTTTTTTAAAAGGTGCCGACGTCTGAAGTATTATTTTACTTCTAATTAATAAGATGTGGTGTTGAAGTTTGAAATCCAAATCAATAAGAGTGCTTGTTTTTATAAACTGATTAATGTCTGAATTTGTTTAAATTGTCTATTTTACCGATTAAAAAAATTATAATGTTGAATTTATAGATAAATTTATACAATTTCACATATTTATTCATCACTATTACGAAATTTGTATTTAAAATATATATTTAACATTCATTTAAACGAAACTATGTGATGATCGATTTGATAATGATCAATTGAGAGAAATGATCGATTAAGATTAATCGATTGATAAACGTTATTGTTAAAGGTTTCAAGAACAAGAAAATGAAAATAAGAGGTTAGTTTACTTCTTACCAGATAAAATAATAATAAAATATAAACGTTTCTGAAAAATTGAAAAATACAAACAGGTTAAATAAACACTCTTCTTAATAAATCAAACATTTCCAAATACATATTTTTAATTGATTACAAGTTGAATAAATACATATTATTTTTTGTGTTCCTGTTTGAATAAAAAAAGTAAGTAATAAATATAACACATGTGTTGCGTTTTGGATTCCGTCTCCCCATTGGTACACGCTTGCCTTGAGTAATGTAAAAATTACTCTCTCTCACACGTTAATGCTTTTGACTTTTGAACAGAGGCTACTACCACCCCACTTCCATTCTCATTAATTTATACACTTAAATTTATCAAAATAACCATTTTTAACAAAAATAACCACTTAAATCGTTTTTGGAAGACCATATACTACCAAGGGGTCACACATGTAACTAATTTGAAAGACAAAAATCAGATATTATATCTGATTTGAGAGACAAAAATCATACGTATAAGGAACGTGGGGGCGATCTTGATATATCAAGTATAATATCTTATTTTTGTATCCAAAATCAGATACATGTGGAACCCCTCCTTACCATTATGGTCAAAATCCACCCCCCCCCCCCACCAAAAAAACGTGATTTGAGGTGGTCATTTTGTTAAAAGTGTGTGAATAGTGGTTATTGTGGCAAAGTATATAAATCGGTTATTTTGATTAATTTCCCCCATTTTATTCCTACTATCTCGTCAATATAACAAAGAATGGGTTTCAAATATAACCATAAACTATGTAAGCTAATCAATTGAAGTACTATAAAAATGATAACAAATGTTTTATATTAGAAAATAATCAAGATATTTATAAAAGAGAAAATTTTAAAAAATTCAATGGACTTTAGTGTTTTAAATGATTAAGTCATTGGACATTTTTTTGGAACAAATAAGTCCTATTTCAAAACTTGTTAAATAACTCTTTAGACTTTCTAAAACCTGTTAAATATATTGTTTTGAGTTTGGCTCCAAAGGTCAAAAGTACTAGAAGGTCTCAGGTTCAAATCCAATGAGGAATAAAAATTCTCTTGTGGCTACGGAGGTTCAAATGCTATGACTCCAGGCTATCTGTAAAGCAGGTGGTCGTCCTGGGATTAGTCGGTTCGCATAACGGGTTGGATATTCAGGTTAATAAAAAAAATTGTTAATGTGGTAAAATAATGAAAAAAATCGGGAAACAAAGTCAACGGAATTTCATGTTTTGAACGATTAAGTCCCTAAACATTTTTTGAACAAAAAAAATACTTACATCTATTAAATGAAACAAATATATCAAAAATACTTATATTTACAAAAAAAGTATTTGTATTTAAAAAGGATTATTGATGAAATTTATTTTAATTTAAAATTTAAAATATTTTGT